TTGGATTATAAATTGTGAGTTTATCATGTTCCTTGAACACACCGTGAATTTTAATTGGACTTATAATTTAACCCTTTTTTTTTTTTTTTGGGTCAAGGGAAAGATTTTATTAAAACACCAAACACACACTTACAAACAAACAAAGACCCAACTTACACATATAAACAAACAAAAAAAGGCCTAAAAATAAAGAAATAATAGAAAGTGAGCTCAACAACAGTAAAGCCCAAAAACAACAGAAATTCTGAGAAGCATCCACTGCTTTCTCCACCGCCGTTCTGAGAAGCATCCAGCTATCCGATTCTCCGTCCACCACCGATCATCACCTCCTCAGACATCACTTGTGCACAACCATAAGCAAGAGATAGTTGGCAACCAAGAGAGAGAAGCCAACAACCAGGGAAATCCCTGAGCGACATTGCCGGAAATGGCAGACAACAAGGAGAACGTGGTGGTGTTGGAAACACCCGAGCCGGTAAAAGCGCTGGAACTCTACACACGAACTCAATAGAAAACATGGCTAAAGATCAAAGCAAGGAAAAGCCTGGAAGAGGTATACTTGAATGGGTTGAGGAATTGGACAGTCCCGATTGAAAAATTGGGAGAACCACCAGTAGATGCAAGGAGAAAAAAAGGAAAAAAGAGAAAAGAGGACACAGCAACCGACCCCAGCTGAAGCTAGGGCCGGTGCTACCGTAAATGCTTAGATTTGAAAGTCTCACAAAAATAGTGAGAATGACTTTCACTTCAGAGAGAAGAGCTCTCTCTTCGAAGAGAAAGATCCTTGTTGATGCAAATTTCTTCCTCATTGATCTTGGACAAAGTTGCACCTACAAAACAATTAACAACTTAGGGTCAAGGCCAAGAGCCTTATGCGCCCACGATGAATGAGGGGGGCTTTGGCCGAAAAACCTCTGATGCCAAATTTAGAATTTAGAGAGAAACGTGTTTAGAAAGTATTGAGAATTTTGCAAGTGTGTTGGAATCATCTTTTGGTGAAAATGGGAGCCTATTTATAGGGATAGGCCAGCCTCTTTGGAGAAGGAGTGGCCGACCATGAGGTAAGGTTTTTGGGTTTAATTTTGGTTTAATTAGCCAATTTATTATGATTAATTGGCTAATTAAATATAAAGGGAATGTTTTTGTCACAACCCGTCCTGGAAATGTACATTATTTTGTTATCGTTGATGTGAAAAGACTAAAATGCCCTTGAGCGTTTGTGGCATTGTGGGACTATGTGTGGTTGAGGACCAATGTGTTAAGTTCCTATTATTTTGGACCTAATTGGAAGTAAGGAAAATGGGTTGTTTTGATTGTTACCCAAAAATCTGGACCACACATCCTGTCTCTCTCTCACTTTCCTGTGCTCTCTCTTCTCTCTCTTTCTCGATTTCACTCTCTCTCTCTTTCAAAATGGTACGGACAAGCACCCAAGACCCTTGAAACTTCACGGATCGTGGCCAAAATTAGTACCATTGTGTTCGTGAGGACCATACGAGTTCAAATGTACCCGTTTTAGGTAAGAACTCGTTCGATATCACGTTGAAAATTCAAGCTCCGAGTTGAGCACTATTCACGAACTTTTAAATGGTTATGCTTTAGGATAATCCAAGCTCATAGTGAGCTTAGTGAGGTCCCAAGGAAGCTCGGAGTGCTTCGTTTGAAGGTTTTGGACGTCGGGATCGTGTGGACGAAGTTTGGCCGATTTTCTTGGAATTCTCCAGTGAGATCCCATGACTTTTAGAGCTTTAAATTAGTATGATCATGTTCTACAAGCTAAGAGCTTCATTTTGGTATAAATTGCGTGAAAAATGGTGTAAAAACGAGTGAGAAAAAGGTAGTTGCAGGTTTGCCCATAATTCGGCACTGGTGACACAATTCCGACGTCTGGAGGTTGAAGATGATGCGCGTGTTGGGCACGTGAGGCCGTGCCCTCCCCGGCTCGTGGGGGCGCGTGAGCCACCTAAAAATTTATCTAAAAATATCACGATGTTCGTGAGGTTGTGTAGGTCACATTGGTATATTTAAATACCAAAATTGAGCAATGTATGAGAAATTATTAGCTAGTTTTGCTTATGTGCTTTAAAATAACGTTTTTATAGTTAATTCGCATATAGGTGAGACTTATCCAGAGGAAGAGCGTATCCACGGGCGACTCGGGGGCTACGAGCCTTCGACATACCAATAAGTGGGCTTTTGTTTTCATTATATGTTTATATACTTGATATATTTCCCAGAAATGCATTTTTAGGAAAGTATGCTTTGAAATAATATGCCAAATGCTTCTATATTTTGAATATGCATTGCATGGTTGCATATATATATAAATGTGGTGCTGTGAAGGCACATGTGAGTTCAGGTAAGTTATGTTTGGTTGTGTGAATCATCGATGATGTGATATGTGATTAAGTAATGTTGAGCTTATAAAGCTGCACCTAGGGTGATTGTGAATTAGCCAGAGATATGAAGTACAAGCCTATTTATTTACGTCACTTCCCGCACTATATGCTCATATTGGATCCAACTTAAGTGCACAGTCTTGTTGTACAGACCTTATTATGGTTCCAACTCGTAGGTGACTAACGATTTATCGTCCGACTATTATGAGAGAATAGAATTGAGCATAATTATTTCACCCAATCTTGTCGTACAGACCCTTTTTAGTGGTTCCGACTTATGTGCAATATATTGCTGTATAGGTCATAGTAGTGACTCCAGCTATATTGAGTTTGAGCTATGAATTCAGCAATATATACTACCACAAAAGTTCCGGCTAACATATCACATTTCTATGAAATTATTCTTACTTGAATTGTTTACTCTATTATATCTTGGCATGACATATATACTTATGAATATGATTATGTGAAGCATGAACTGAATTGATATGATTTCAGATATATATATATATACATATATATATATACATATATACATATATATATATATATATGTATATGCTTATATCTTGATTCTGGGAAAAATTATACATGTTTTACAGCGAGAGGTTAGTTATGTTGATATATGAAATGATTTTGTAAAACATTTGTTTTTGCCCACTCACGTTTTCTGTTTTGCGCCCCTCCAGGTTTTAAGAAAGCTTGCTGTTGGTGGCTCGAGGACATCGGCTGTTCTGACTATTCTATAGTATAGTAGGACATTCCTGGTACTGTGTAACTAGTACTTGTCCTACTGGCCTGCACCTAGACTTATTATGCTCTGATTAGGAGAGTTTACAGTTGTAACTAACTCCTATCACTTGTTGTTAGTAGTGCACTCTATAAATGTGGTTTTTAATTATTCATATATTTGCTATCTTTATCGCTTTCGCATTGTGCACATGGCTACGCCGCTCTCACGTGACGGCTAGCATGCCTTGACCTCGATCGGGATGTGTCAATTTTGGTGGTTATGAAATTAATTGGCTAGCTAATTAGTGCAATTAAAAGGGAGAAATGATAAAAAAAAAAAAAAAAAAGGGTAGAAAGTATGGTGGACTCATTTTGGAATGGGGATGGCCGGCCTTTGACTTGTTTTTGGGGTTGAATGGGTGATTTAATTGACAATTAGGGGATTGATTAGACAATTAATCCTTTAATTAGTCAATTATTATGTTTTTAAAGGAAGATTTTAGGAAATATGAAAGGAATATATTATTTAGCTAATTGGTTAGCTAAATAATGAAATAGAAAATATATGGAATAAATTAGGTTTTGAGAATTACCTTATAGAAAGGATTTGATGAAATATGCTTTAAATTGTTACCTATTTTGGACACTTTTGACTTGGTTGAAGAAGGGTTGCCCGCTGCTCGCGCGTAGGAATCCCGTTGTACCGCAAAGGTATTTTTGTCATTTTCTGTCAAAAAATCCACTTGTCGCCTTGTGATTATTTTTGACTCCACAATCCTCCTTTTTGTTTTTCTCATAATTTAACTTTGGTTCCTCCTTGGTTATTTCACTTGAAGCCGTTGCATTGTAGTTGTTCTTTTTTGTGTGCTTCTGCTTCCTTCTCCTTGTCCTAGAAAATGAAAGACAGAATTAGTTTTTGCCTCATTCTTTTTCCTTTTCCTATTCTTTTGCTTTTGCTTTTCCTTTTCCTTTTCGAAGCAACAAAAACGGGTTTGACAACAATAATAGGTTGTATACCAAAAGGTTCCTTCTTCTGTCCACGTCTGGAATCTGGTGGTGATGGGGAGTGACAACATCCCAGATGACCAATTTTTCAACAAATTCACGAAAATGAAATATATTATGATTGCAAATTTGAAACTATTATGTACAACAATCTAATGGTAACAAAAATTTAGTGGCATACTTTTGGACTCAAAAGTAAAAAGTATTATGTTCGAATCTAGTAATTTATTATTATTGATTGAGACTCATTGTGTGATTTAGACCAAATTTCCCATGTTTTTGTGTAAATATATTATTGGCTAAATAATAAAAGACAAACTAATGGTAAGAATTTATTTAAGACCTTTTAAAAAAAAATTATTTTAATATATATTTTTTCATAGCCTCTTCGGTCCTAAAAGAGATAGATAACCGTGACTTGCATACGATGACAAAACATTACATCACTTTTTGATAGACTTGCATACGATGAAATTCATTCAACAAAGAAACCGTGTTATCTATCTGTACAAAAAGATTAGACAATTTAAGAGCAATTCCCATTACTTTGTTTTAAGAAATATACGAACTTGGCAGTAAATGATGTTGTATTTTTGCATTCTTCTACTTGTTAAACGTGAAAACTGCGAATATATGTGCATTATACGTTTGAGTTTGATAAAAAACGTAAAATTTAATGAATCATTAAGACAAATAAACGATTACATAATTTACTACATAAAAAAAAAATAAAAAGACAATCTATCAGTCAACTACAGTCCAAAAGAACAGCTGGGGATGAAGAAGCAACAACCAACCCACCCTTTGTTCCGAGTTGAACTTGTCTCCATCCAATTCCAAGCAATAGAGTTATTCTACGCGTTGAAGCCCAACGAGAGTTGTCCTTGGTCTTTGCTTAAAAACCCACCGACAAGAGTCACTTTGCAAATCCCAGTCCCCACATTTCAGTTGAGAGGTCTTTGTATTGTAGTCACCCAGAAGGACCAGGTTCTAAGCTAACCAAAAATGTCATCATCCTTCACCTTCTGACTTAGTATCCCATTTTCCTCCACTCCACCAACCAACTTCTCTTCATAGCTGCTTCTAACAGAAGCTGCCAACCCCACCACCAGAAAGTGCTTTTCTGCAAGACCCCAGTTGGTGAATCTGTAAGATTGCTGTTTACTTTGCTCATTTGCTTGATGGGTCTTCTCCAAGAGCCCAAATTTTGCTAATTCTTGGCTCAAGTTTCATACTTTGTTGAGGGATTTTTAATTTCATAATTGGATTTTCTTCTGGTTTGCTGTAGCATATTATATGATTGCAATTGGGGAACTTTTTCATCTGGGTTCTTTTACCAAATGATGAAGCTGGTGAGGAATGTTAATTGGGATTGGTTTGTTCAATTCAGGCCTTTCTACAAAAGGGTTTTGAATTTCGGTAATGAGATGATGAAGGGTCATTGTAAAATCTTGGTTTTTCAAACTTACAATGGATTAGTTGCAATTGGCTCATTGGTGTTCTTTGTTGTTGCAATGTCTTGTGCCTTTTTGTATTTGTTTCCCAGTGTTCCCCCAGTGGTTAATAGTTACCCGGTTTCGAATTCCAGTAGTAGTGCAACTGATAAATGTGATGTTTTCGAAGGAAGGTGGATTCAAGATGAAAGTTACCCTTTGTACAATGCCTCAGAATGCCCATTTACAGAAATTGGATTTAATTGCTTTGCTAATGGGCGGAAAGACGGGGGTTATGCCAAGTGGAGGTGGAAGCCAAAGAATTGTGATATTCCTAGGTTTGATGTGCGTGCGGTTCTTGAAAAACTTCGTGGAAAGAGGATTGTTTTTGTTGGCGATTCGTTGAGTAGAACACAGTGGGAGTCTTTGATATGTTTACTCATGACAGGGGTGGAGGATAAGAAGAGTGTTTATGAAGTGAATGGGAAAAAAATCACTAAGCAGATTAGATTCTTATCGGTACACTTTAGTTCATTTGACCTCAGAATTGATTTCTATCGGTCAGTTTTCCTAGTACAGCCTGCTTCAGTTCCAATCCGATCACCAAAGAGGGTTAAATCAACTCTCAGAGTTGACAAGTTGGATGACATTAGCCAAGAATGGATCGATTCTGATATTTTGATTTTCAATTCAGGTCACTGGTGGACACCAAGTAAACTTTTTGACATGTGAGTTATCTTAATCTCTGAGCGTTGTCTAATTTCAGTTATTGTTGTAGAATGCTTTCTGACGTCAAAAACATTTAAAAACTTGCTTCATGATTCTCTATTTACCGGATGCATTTGTCTGTCTTTTCCCCTCCATTCAATTACTTTACATTTATCTTCAATCCACGCCCCCTCCAACATTCAGTTCCAGAGTCTTCACCATTAACAGCTTGTCATTGTGCATTCATACTCCATGCTTGATCGTATAAATGTTGACTAATGCAAGCAGTGGATTAGAATGTATTCATCTTTATGGCATGCATGCTACTTATTATTTATAGAATGGTTTAAATGCCCCATGCATGTTAGTGCCCCTTCAGAAGCCTAATTTACTAGAGAGGTAGAAGATCCCTAGTATGGGCGTGGCCAAGGTCTTGGTTGAAGTTTGCTGATACAAACTCCATGGAAGCCATGATTATTGTATAATTTGTAGATATTTATGCTTATGTTTTAGCTTAAAATTTTTTCACCAGCTGGGGAAAGGGGTATGGAATTGTAATAAAAAATACATGTTAGATCATAAATGATGGGTACAAAGGATAAATGACGGTTATGTTAACATTCGACTTCAGGTCCAATTTGCTTGATCAACTTCTTAGGTAGAGTACTTACCAGTTACTATCACCAAAATACTGCTGCTTCAGTATACATTTCAGACCCCAAAAAGAATTAAGGATACAATTCCCAAAACATTGTGCAGCCTGTAGTAGAGTTATGCAGATGGATCCCTCTTTCTCTCACTCCACTTTGCTTTTTCACGTGATTATGATTGTTTGTGGAAGTGGATGTGATTGCATGTTGGGCATTCTGATGTAAGATAGTAGTGTTCTGTTTTCCTTCCTTGTCAACCAGTATATCTTGTCTTGATGTATGCACCTGTTGAATGATTATGCTTGCTCAACATACAATCGACTTCTTAATCAGCTTTCCATGCTTTCTCAAAAAAAAAAAAAAAAAAAAAAAGCGAGTTTAACATTTTTTGTACAGGGGCTGCTATTTTCAAGTAGGTAAATCTCTGAAGCTTGGAATGCCAATCACCACGGGGTTCAGGATAGCTTTAAACACCTGGTCATCTTGGGTTGAGACCATGGTCAACACAAATAGGACAAGTGTATTCTTCAGGACTTTTGAGTCATCGCATTGGAGGTGCGTTATTTATTTTATTTGTTATGATACTTGCTGCCAATGATTTTAGTGTCTAAGGCTGTTGGGGTTTGATTGCATCTAGCTCTACCAAATCTATTCTTGTTGGCGATACATTTGGCTATTAGTTAGCATCTCCTACTTGTGTTTCATGAAAAAAATTATTTTATTCTTCTGGCTTCCCTTTAAAGATAGGGAGTATCTTGTTTTGTTCCATGTATCGATACTATATTATTAAAGCATTCTATAATTCCCCATGTTGCTTTGCTATTTACGTCTGGTGAAAATAATGTGCCATGATACATCCATGCTAGTCCCAAGTAGTTGTAATTTAATGGACATTTTTTGCTAAAAATCTTCATGGAATTTGGAACTTAACAAACTATTTACAGAAATAAAAAGGTTGCTTGTATTTTTGATTTTTTTCCTACTTTTAGTTTGATTTAATGTGTTTGGGTAGCAAGGAATTTCAAGTCTTTATTGGCCTCTAAATGCTTTAGTTAATGGTTATTCATGGAAATGCCGGTTCGATTGGCTGATCTGAAGCAATATATAAAGTTGTCCTATTTTCTTCTTTGTAGAAGCTAAATCTTTTAAATTCTGGTACATATTTAATTATTCATTTTGCTCCTGAGTTGAGATGCAAATAAGCTGATATAATTGACTGCTGGTGATTCTGTATATGTACCAGTGGCCGAAACCATAATTCGTGCAAAGTGACTAAACACCCTTGGTCAAGCTCATGGGGAAAGGACCGAAGCACAATTTCAGACATCATTATAAAGATTGTGAAAAAAATGAAGGTTCCTGTGACAATTCTACACGTTACACCGATGTTATCATTCCGTAGTGATGGGCATGTGGGTACCTGGAGCGATAATCCATCAGTCCCTGATTGTAGCCATTGGTGCTTACCTGGCGTACCTGATATGTGGAATGAAATTCTCTTGAACCTGCTACCCGGGAATCAGGTTTCCCTTAAATGAAGTGTAGAGCCGCTAATATGCTTCCTTCTTTTGCTGCTTGCATCAACAAGCTCCTAGTGTCACTCTTCAGCATCAGATCGAAAAAGTGAGAGAGATCCTGGCATCCTGCCTGTAAGTTGAACTTTGCCTCTCACAAAATTCTTGTTTGTCGTTTTGTGTAGTATTGTTTCCCCACGGTCAGTTAGTGAAGATTAAGAACCACAATCCAAATTAAATGGGGGAGTTGAGATGAAGCTGCGTTGCTGTAATATGTGTTCACGAGGTCTAGCTAGTAGTTACAAGTTATAACAAGTGTCCATTTGTGGAAGCATATTTTTCCAAAGCGAAATAGAAGTTTCTACAATTGGCCAAAATCTACAATTGGCCAAAATCAATCCGAGTTTGGGGATGAACTGATGAAGGAAAGTGTACAAATTGGTCTGCCAGGCGTCTGACATGTTTTACGGTAGATGAGCTTCTTCTTTCATTGAATTTTTAGTTGATGTGCCAGAGGTGGATTTGCAGTCGTGGCAGCTCCAAGGAGGGCATGCCTTGCTTAATCACTTGCATCTTTTAACACAACTTATACATTTTATTTGATTGTTGCACACTTCTATACTTCTGAAGAAGGGCCAAATACTTCCCATAAGTATGTACTGGAAATAGTTCAATGTTATGATGTTATCAAAGCCTCCTCAATTTTTATGTATTGAAAGAGTGAGCAGTGGAACGAAAATTTGTTGTTTATGATGGTATACCACATGACGTATCAGAGTAGTGGTCCGAGTTCAATCTTATTATAATTTGATGTCGAAATGAGGAGAGATTCTCTCTTGCAACCATTACAGTCTTAGTGGCTTTCTCGATCTAATGAATGATCGTTATGTGTTCAAATAGTGTATCAACTGTCTAGTATATATTTGCCTCTCCGGTTACACGAGAGTCTCTCCCCCGAATGAGACACACAGATATGCATTACCAGGTCCATTCAATCATGATTCAAGTCAATGCATGTCCTTGTGAACTTTACTTCCCATCTTTTATCTTGAAAAACAAAATATTGAAGGCCAACAAGTACTTGTGGAGCAGCTAGAAATCTGTCTGTGTGCTTGAACATGGTGATTCAATTGCTTATCTGAACTTGCATAATGCCCAAAAGTTGAGCTTACAATTAGACCCTTGATGCATACTCATAAATTGAAGGTGGTAGCATGTGGTTGAATATCTTAGTGGGTAGGGTATTTGATTTTTACCTATGCGTCATTGGTTCGAAACTTCCCTTCGCTCAAATTATTATAATAGTTTTGAACCCTACCCCTCCTCTTAAAAATAATAAAAATTTCTATAATAAATAAATAAATTTAAGCTAGTTAAATAGTCCCACATCGGCAAAGTGAAGCACAAATTGCTCTTCATAATACCAGCAGAAGGATGAATAATCGCCGTGATTAGTAACGCAAGCTTGTAACCCAAGTGGTGGCATTGAAGTGTTGGAAAATTGGTTCAGAGTTAGTTGTTTGCGTCTGGAGTGGCTTTATTCCAAGCTAGGAGTTGAGTTGTGTGGCCTGAGCAAAGGCTCTGGGCTATACAATTTCTAGAGCAGAGGGAACCGTGACAACCTCCTGCTCTTAGTAGTGGAAGGATAACAGGTCGGTGCCATCCAGTTCCATCATGGATAGCTGGGCTGCCTAAATTGAACCAATGCTTTTTTTGTTCATTTGTTAGGTAATCAGTAATTTGATCACCAACGAGTGGAATTATTGATTGAAATGTTGGAACTTTCAATGTTCTGAATCCCCGCTCATGAAACAATCCGCCGGCATACAAATACTAGTAGGCATAGTGCGTATAAGATTCACCTCTTCCTCCAAAAATAACGCAGATAAAACTTCGAGGCTCAAAGACTTGCTTACCGGATCAAGTAGGTCCTGCACCCTCATATGTTTCTGCGAAACTGGTGCCACTGATAACACTTTGAATGTATTCGGCCTCGGAAGCCACCTATCCTGTCATACGCGTACCGTCGCTCCATTGCCTACAACAAAATATTCAAGACCAAAGAAGTATTTGTCGAGCAGCTAGAAATCTGTCTAACATTTCAAAAACATGGTGATCCAATTGCTTATTTAACATTTCAAAACTCTTCATCGATTAAATTATTATAATAGTTTTGAATCATCCCTCTCTTTGATAATAATAATTAAATTTTTCTAAAGTACATACATAAATTTAAGCTAGTTAAACAGTCCCACATCGGGCAAGTGAAGTGCAAAACTGTTCTTCATAATACCAGCACAAGGATGAATAATCGTCGAGCTTGGTAACGCAAGCTTGTAACCCAAGTGGGGGCATTGAGGTGTTGGAACATTGGTTCAGCGTTGGCTGTTCGGGTCTGGAGTGGCTCTATTCCGGCCTGCCCATTCCAAGCTAGGAGTTGAGTTGTGTGGCTTGAGCGAAGGCTCTAGGCTACACGATTTCTAGAGCGGATGGAACCGCGTAAGGCTGGTTTCACAGAGCAACGATTACCTCCCGCTCTTGGCAGTGGAAGGATAACGGGTCGGTGCCATCCGGATCCATCATGGATAGCTGGGCTGCCCCATTGAACCAACGCTTTTTTTTTTTTTGTTGCTTTGTGTGATTACTTTGTATCACTTGTGTGATGGCATCAACTAGTAATTTGATCTTGTTTAATATATTGCATATTGTGAAATGTCTCTTTGTTCACCAAAGAGTGGAATTATTGATTGAAATGTTGAAACTTTCAATTTTCAATTTTCCGAAACCCCAATTTTCTTTTGTGCTAAACTTTAGTACTGGGAGTTTGAATTTTAATTTGTCAATTGGAGATCATAAAAATAAACACAAAATGATAAATATTAAGGTTAATCACATCGAACTTTAACGATCTCTATTTATTTATTTTTAAATGCGGATTAGTTGTGGAGTTCACACCACATTGAACTTTAACGATCTAAACCGTGTATTTTTCAAGTTGCACCTCATAGATCATCCTTACAAAATATTAGCAAAATCAGAAATATTTGAGGCGTCTAATTAAGAGTACAAAGAAATTGACACTTTGTTCTACAAAAAACAACGAAATTTTATTGTGATAATTAAATAGGCAAATGGTTTGTGATTGAATTGAATTTCTGCAAGGATGATTTATGAATCGAGACTTGCAAGATAAACGGTTCAAATCATTGAAAATCGATGTAGAGTAGGTCCTACAACTAGTCTCATTTTTACCCAAGAATGGAAATCCATTTGGATAAAGGGCTTGTGTATATATACACACACACTCAGCAAACTAAAAAACTATATCACCTTGGTGGAGGAATTGCAATATAAGAGAAACAAGAAAACTTTGAGAAGTGTTTTGGAATGCAAACAAACCTTTTCCAGCTCCGAATCTTAGAATGAGAGTTAAGTCACGAACATTAAAAAATGAACTCTTACTTTTAATTTAGTATAAACTCTTTGCTACAAATAGGCTTTTCAAGTCCACCACTTTCTCCACAACAATTCAATTCTCATCTACCACGTTACAGACTTTATTTTACAAATAAGATGGCCAATCCAAATAGCTACTACTTCCCATTTTTCCCTCCACCACCTCCGTCCCCGGGGGCAAAGCCTCCAAGTCACTCAACCCCACCACCTCCATCAGCAAAACCACCAGGTCAATCGACCCCACCACTAACTCCGTCAGCAAGGCCGCCACGTCCATCAATCCCACCACCACCTCCGTCAGCAAAGCCTCCAAGTCACTCAACCCCACCACCACCTCCATCAGAAAAACCACCAAGTCAATCAACCCCACCGCCAACTCCGTCAGCAAAGCCACCACGTCCATCAATCCCACCACCACCACCCCCGGGGGCAAAGCCTCCAAGCCCCTCAACCCCATCACCACCACATAAGCCATTTATAATACCACCACCTCCACATCAGCCATTTAGGCCACCGCCCCCACCTCACGTACGCCCTCCGCCACCGCAATTGCCACCATCACCAACCCCGGACAATCATCCCACCGTCATAGTCATTGTGTTCATATCATTAGGTTCCGTTTTCTTCCTTGGATTCCTTGCAGTTGCCCTACTCTGTTGCATCAAGAGGAGAAAGAAAAAGACAATCCAAGAAACCGACTTCATTCACATCGACAAACACCGGAAGATCAAGGAAGCCATTGTCGAAGGTCCCAAGGGACCCCAAGCCGTGGTGTTGTCAGTTGAGGATGATGTCCATATCGACGAGGAGATAAGGAAGAATGAGACAATTAGTCACGAGGGTTTGCATGGAAAAGCAAAGAGTTCAGGTGTCCAATGGGAAACCGAAATCGTTAACGTCAACGAACATCGGAAGGTGAAGGAAGACATCGTAGAAGGTCTGCATGGGTCGAAAGCTGTGGTGTTGACAATTGACGACGATGTTCATATCGACGAAATAATAAGGAAGAACGAGAGGGTTGGTAAAGGTTTGCATGGCAATGCAGAGGCGGTGAAAATTGATGAGCCTTCAACGAGTTCACATATTGGTCAGCAATAATAATCTTGGATTCACATTTGATGAAGTCGTGATTAACTCATGTAACTAATAAAAATTCATCACCGAAAACTGATATATATTTGACTGTTCTTTTTAAGATGGATCTGTGAAGATTTTACGTATGTCAAATAAGCTGTTTCATGTTTGAACCAGCCTCCCTCAGGCTAATGCAACTAAAGTCCTTTGATTTTTAATAGAACCAAGTCACTCAACCTAACCACCATCGCCCCCGGTGAAAAAGCCGGCACTGCCTCAACCCCACCGCCGCCACCACCCCGGGGTAGATTTTTTTTATCTTAACTTTTTTACTATTTATTTAGTTTTTTGTTAACATCACTTTTTCCGCACAATTCGATCAAATTTTTTTGAATGAGGAGATGTGGAAGAAGGTTGAAGAAAACCTAGAAAAAATTTGAATGAGGAAGTGTTTTGTGTGAGAATTAAAAGGAAAAAAAATTTGGTAGATGGATGAACAAATGTTATGCCTATATGTGAAGGGGTCTGTTTTTTTTTTTTTTTTTTTTTTTTGTCAAATGGTATTTATTCGATTATTTACAAACTTTGGATTAATGTATGCTTGAATCTTGACCTTCCAAATATATAGGCCTCCAACTATCGCTTGTTTGGCGAGTATTAGGCATATTTGCGCGTGAACCCTTCTCTTCTTTTTCCTTTGAGGAGCCCACCTTATGCATCTTTACCTGCATTTTCCGGTGAGTAGCAAAAGCACCGAGACTGGAGCAACTTCCGGCTGCGGGAAATGTAAACGTTGCTTTACAATCCCATTTGGCAGATTGGAGATGCTCTTAGAAGCACGGTTGTGTTGTCTGCTTATATACTTTCTCTGTATAAATAGGATGGGAGCTAGCTACAAGCTTGGCCTACCCTTTTCACCTACACAAACAGAAGAACATGAGAGATGTCAAATGCAACCAAACTGAAGAACTCGGTAGGGACAGATACATGACAGTTTTAGTTCGAATTTCAACCAAAAGGACTCAAGTCAGTTGTTTATATACACATAAGGATATTGCTTGGCGAATAAGAAGTCATTCCTTGTTGAATAAGGTTGTGACATTTAACTTTGGTTTAAATATTTTATTTCTTATTTTTATGTCTACTTTGCCCCTTTGGCGAATAAGAAGAAACAATAAATTCCCTAACAGTGTGTTTGGATGTGGAAAAATAAGTCGGAAATTAGCTACAAGTCGGGATTTGAGGGATGGGAGTTCAATTTTTTTTGCGTTTGTCAACTTGACGCCCATAAATCAACAATTGACGAATGAAAAAACTCAGGGAAATTGGGGCTCTAATTTTCGAGTTCAAATTCCGCAAAAGGAGTTCTCATTTTACAATTTCAATTGAGAGGGAAAGTATCTCTTCCAGCGACCCAAAAGTTCAGACAAAACTTTACCTAAAACAAAAAGAAGAACTACAAAAAAAGAAGAAACGAACTGCAATACACTCCACTCTGAAAATGAATGAATCAATTGTGTGATGGTTTGGGTTATCTGTGCTTGAGATTAGATGGTGGGTTGTGTGGCTGGGTTAGAGACTATGGGGAGGGGGCTATGGATGGGTAGTATGGACTAGAGGAGCGTGTTTGAAATAGAGAAAACACTGGCTTTTGCACAATTTTTTCCCCAAGAGTTTGACCTTGGTACCTTTGGATTTTGGTATCTATGCAGGACTAGTTGAAGTGAAGCAAACAAAGGCACATGTTCTTCTTGACTAGCCTTCATGCACGCGCTTACATCATTGCAAAAAATATTTTTTGAATTATAGCGTGCTACGCACAACTTACACATTTATATATTTATATGCATAAATTGCTTCAATATCTTTTTTTATGACAAAAAGAAAGTCAAATATTTGGACTAAATGAATCATATTAGACCATGCTAGAAGAAACCCTTCATAAACCAATCAAAGCAGCTGAATCCACATAATAAAATCTGTCTTTTAATTTCCATCTACATTCTATTGAATTTATGACACACCCCGACCGAAGTCGAGACGTGTTGGCCGTCATGTGAGGCTGACGTAGCCAAAATGCGCAATAGAACTGATAATAAAAGAAATATGAATAAATAAAAACTTAAAACCAATCTTATGTAAACTAAGATAATATAAGTGAGTGAAGGTAACCAAGCAAGTTATACAAATATCAGAGCATAGGTAAGTGCAGTCGAGCCAACTAAGTACTAATTATACAACAGTGAAAAGATCCCTACTTATTTATAGAGATGTCAGAACCACCGTGAAAGTCCTCGTGAGCCACCAAGGATGACCAGCTATCTAGAACCTGGCGGGGCGCAAAACAGAAGACGTGAGTGGGCAAAAACAAAGCTTTTGAAAACACAGTTGTCTTTATGAACATACTAACCCCTCATTGTAAAACCCGTATAATTTCCCAAAAAATAATCACACGTAGGTACATAAAGATAATGCTTAGAAGCAGTGAAAACAGAGGTATGCCATGTCAAGATGTTCAACCATAAAATGTGTAAGCCAAGTGATACGAATCAATGTAAAATAGTATGACAGCCGGAGTCACCTAATGTGACCTGTACGGCTGAATCTATAACTCATCAAGAATGCCTGCACACGAGTCGGAACCACCTATTGTGGTCTGTACAACAAGGCTGGGTGTAAATAACTACTCTTAAGTGCTACGATCACGTGAAGGCTGTGCGAATAATCGCGGGTCACTTACGAGTCGGTACCACCTATTGTGGTCTGTACAATAAGGTTGTGCACCAAACTTGGATCCAAGGTGAGCATGCAGTTCAGGAGGTGAACATCACGTGAAAGATTGTGCCCTAACCATGGGCGGGAGTACTAACATCAGGGTGCAGGATAATGAGCTCAAAATGCATTGATGAGTAGATTTTATATTATATATTTTACCCTATTCTTAGTATATTTTGGTAAATATTTTTGAAGAATTTTGATACTTTGAATTGTATTTTCAATATAGGACTGTTGACTTCCTTTGGAGCAAAACAAGACCAAATGGACGAATTTTGAAGTAATTCTAGTTAGGGGATGTTTGTGAGTCACTTAGCTTGATCGTATCAAAATTTGGGATTTTTCCACCAAGCGGTTATTTTCTGGCAATAAAATAAAGGAGCGATGCGCGGTGTTGGAAAATGACATTTTTGGGCTTAAATTGCGTTTTTGGAGCCCAAGATGACATCGAATGGTTTTGTGGCCTTCTAGAGATGTGTTAGGAACGTTCTAATCTTTAAAACAATCTTGGGTCGGATTTGGAGGAGATCTGAGGCTAAAACATGGCTGGACAAGTGCTTGGCAGATTCTTCTAGTTTAATTAGGGTTTTATTTTCTAATATATATTATTATTTTTCTTAGTTTCCTAATTGGAATAAGAGACCTATGTTTTAGGGTTTGTGGATGGCTTAGCAAATATATTGCTTTGCCGTTCTTAGTTTTTTTTCTACGCTTTCTTTTATGCAACTTCGGAGACAGAAAAAATTGCTAGGATTCTTGGAGATTTTCTACTTGAAGGTGTTTTCAATCCTTTTCTTAATAATATTTTCTATGATTTTAATTATGAATATGCGTAACTAATTCCTTTTGCTAGGGCGAAGCCATGAGCCTTAGCATGAATATGTGATTTTCATTTAATTGCTTATGATTGATTGCATGCATAATTTGAATTATTAATTACCGAGATTAAAACTATCTAAGTCTTAATGCCTGATTACCATTAGGATCTTTAGAAAAGTAATTTGATGCAATTTTGATCGGAAGGTTCCCTGAAATTGACGCTGGTTTCTTGTGATTAATAATTGTAATTTCACTTAAGATGAACATCACGTCTTAAGGATTGCATGGTTTTTCAAAGGGTTTTCATAAAGCATAATGAGTCTTTCATGTTCAGATTTGATCCGAACGTCCGGACGGGTTGCGGGAAATGTAAACGTTGCTTTACAATCCCATTTGGCAGATTGGAGATGCTCTTAGAAGCACGGTTGTGTTGTCTGCTTATATACTTTCTCTGTATAAATAGGATGGGAGCTAGCTACAAGCTTGGCCTACCCTTTTCACCTACACAAACAGAAGAACATGAGAGATGTCAAATGCAACCAAACTGAAGAACTCGGTAGGAACAGATACATGACAGTTTTAGTTCGAATTTAAAACCAAAAGGACTCAAGTCAGTTGTTTATATACACATAAGGATATTGCTTAGCGAATAAGAAGTCATTCCTTGTTGAATAAGGTTGTGACATTTAACTTTGGTTTAAATATTTTATTTCTTATTTTTATGTCTACTTTGCCCCTTTGGCGAATAAGAAGAAACAATAAATTCCCTAACAGTGTGTTTGGATGTGGAAAAATAAGTCGGAAATTAGCTACAAGTCGGGATTTGAGGGATGGGAGTTCAATTTTTTTTGCGTTTGTCAACTTGACGCCCATAAATCAACAATTGACGAATGAAAAAACTCAGGGAAATTGGGGCTCTAATTTTCCAGTTCAAATTCCGCAAAAGGAGTTCTCATTTTACAATTTCAATTGAGAGGGACTGTCTCTTCCAGCGACCCAAAAGTTCAGATAAAACTTTACCTAAAACAAAAAGAAGAACTACAAAAAAAGAAGAAACGAACTGCAATACACTCCACTCTGAGAATGAATTTATCAATTGTGTGATGGTTTGGGTTATCTGTGCTTGAGATTAGATGGTGGGTTGTGTGGCTGGGTTAGAGGCTATGGGAAGGGGGCTATGGATGGGTACTATGGACTAGAGGAGCGTGTTTGAAATAGAGAAAACACTGGCTTTTGCACAATTTTTTTCCCAAGAGTTTGACCTTGGTACCTTTGGATTTTGGTATCTATGCAAGACTGGTTGAAGTGAAGCAAACAAAGGCACATATTCTTCTTGACTAGCCTTCATGCACGTGCTTACATCAATGCAAAAAATATTTTTTGAATTATAGCGTGCTACGCACAACTTACACATTTATATATTTATATGCATAAATTGCTTCAATATCTTTTTTTATGACAAAAAGAAAGTCAAATATTTGGACTAAATGAATCATATTAGACCATGCTAGAAGAAACCCCTCATAAACCAATCAAAGTAGCTGAATCCACATAATAAATCGGTCTTTTAAATTCCATC